CAGTTTTTCACTGCACGGGCATTTTTCACATACCTAAATTAATATAATTAACATGTATAACAACATACATTTCAATTTTTTTTCTCCTTAACATAAATATCTTGCCAGAGCTGATTAGGCTTTGATATTTATTTTAGCATGAGATTAGCCTATTGCAACTCGGGCAGAATTACTGGATTAAGGAGCCGGTCGGCCGAGCGGACAGCACGCTGGACTTGTGATCCTGAGGTCCTGGGTTCGATCCCAGGCCCCGGCGAGAAACAATAGGCAGAGTTTCTTTCACCCTATACCCGTTACCTAGCAGTAAAATAGGTACCTGGGTGTTAGTCAGCTGTCACGGGCTGCTTCCTGGGGGTGGAGGCCTGGTCGAGGACCGGGCCGCGGGGGCACTAAAGCCCCGAAATCATCTCAAGATAACCTCAAGATAAGTAATTTTTGAAGATCCTCGCATCAATGGTAGAAAAATGAATGTAGCCCAATCATTATATAAGATGTTGACAGTCGCTATTTCGGTAATTTAGAATGATCATTTACATTTTTGTGGTCTGAATTGCCATCTTGAGATGATTTCGGGGCTTTTTAGTGTCCCCGCGGCCCGGTCCTCGACCAGGCCTCCACCCCCCAGGAAGCAGCCCGTGACAGCTGACTAACACCCAGGTACCTATTTTACTGCTAGGTAATAGGGGCATAGAGTGAAACTCTGCCCATTGTTTCTCGCCGGCGCCTGGGATCGAACCCAGGACCACAGGATCACAAGTCCAGTGTGCTGTCCGCTCGGCCGACCGGCTCCCTTGCTCGGTGTGAATTGCCGAGTACAAGTAGCACCCACACAAGTGCTTTTGCTGTTAATATCTTGCCGGCTAGATTTAACGATGAGAAAATATTATATTTAACTTTTATTCGATATCACCAAACTAATTTCACTCGCACTTTCCCCTCATAATAAGATGTGCGCGCGTTACTGTTATCTTAAATTATATTTAAAATTGTTCTGTCTTCATCATTATCTAATTCTTGTCTCTACATTTGTAAAATTATTTACTCAAATCCTGTATGATCTTGGTTATTTTTAAGTGTTTGCTACCATTCAATTTCAGGGACTGAACCTCACAATTCATATAGCTAAGCAGTTACAGTCTTGATGAGCTAGTTACAAAATTCAATGCACATCGTCACATCGACAATGCGATGAAAGGTGTTGTAAAAAGAGGGGAAATAAAATGCTGCGTTGGATATCAGGACCACAGGAAGTGATAAGGTACAAAGATAAGGAGCCAGAGCCCCCGAAGTTGGCCTCATATCACCCCTCCCCTTCATATCACCACCACAACCCCCTCCCCATTCCTCCACCAACAAGAAGTGTTCCTCCACGCCAGCCAACACTATTATTATTATTAACATCTTTATTGACAAAATTAATTACAATTTTGCCTAATCTGAGGATTTTGATAGTCTTATTAAATTGAGGATAATGCTGGTATTCACTGTCACGCAGGACAGAGGGTCATACATAAGACAATAGGTCTAAACTGTAGGCTGAAGCACATATATATCATGGTTACAATCAATGTTTTAATGTGTGGACTAAACTATTCAAGTGGAGTCAGATACAAGCAAAGTGTACACACACACACTCCTCCCTCCTCCAGAAGAGCTTGTCCCGCGTCGCCTACGCCCTCCAAGCACGCTCCGACTCCACTCAAGTTACAACTCCACGCCCACTCTCATTCCGCTGCTATCAACACACCAAAACACCATATATCTTCCTCGGCGACGAAACTGGTTCACCAACAAATGCAAATGGCTCAGCGCGGAGACTGTTGCGGCCCTGTTCTTGAGCCAACGGGGGTATGAAACACCACTGATGGTGGTGTTTAAACATTAATATACTGTGTAACAAGCTTATTAAGGGTAACTTTCCTAATGAATTTCGGGGTTCGTGGTTCATCAGCCATTTAGTGTGTCTGTAAACTTTTGCAATATCGTCCAGAAATGCAGAGGTTTGTAACGAGACTCATGTCAGAGTTACGTGGGATGTGAAACAGAGAGATTGAAGGATGCTAGAGAGAGCTAGCCCACTGTAGGCCTCAAACTCTTCAATGTGGGCCTCAAAACTCTTCAATGTGGGCCTCAAAACTCTTCAATGTGGGCCTCAAAACTCTTCAATGTGGGCCTCAAAACTCTTCAATGTGGACCTCAAAACTCTTCAATGTAGGCCTCAAACTCTTCAATGTGGGCCTCAAAACTCTTCAATGTGGGCCTCAAAACTCTTCAATGTGGGCCTCAAAACTCTTCAATGTGGGCCTCAAAACTCTTCAATGTGGGCCTCAAAACTCTTCAATATAGACCTCAAAACTCTTCAATATAGACCTCAAAACTCTTCAATATAGACCTCAAAACTCTTCAATATAGACCTCAAAACTCTTCAATATAGACCTCAAAACTCTTCAATATAGACCTCAAAACTCTTCAATATAGACCTCAAAACTCTTCAATATAGACCTCAAAACTCTTCAATATAGACCTCAAAACTCTTCAATATAGACCTCAAAACTCTTCAATATAGACCTCAAAACTCTTCAATATAGACCTCAAAACTCTTCAATATAGACCTCAAAACTCTTCAATATAGACCTCAAACCTTTCTACATAGCATTAAACCCCCTTCAACACGGCATTAAACCCTCCAATATGCCCTTAAACCCTATAATATAAACAATAAGTTTGCCAAACACTGAGGAAATACAGGTGATCGCTTAAACTCTGATGCTCCATTAGTTGCACGTGAAAGTAGTATTGGGTAGATACACAGAACACGATTACATTATCGATTGTACGAATTTCAATCAGAATAAAGAATTCCTTGTATAAACACAAGCAACTTCTCAACTGTTGACTGTTCAACCAAGTTGTTTACTGAGTATACAACCTGGTCGACCAGGCTGTTCAGTGAGCAATTGCTGACTGGTCGACGTATGTGGCGTCGCCCAGGATTCACGCAGCATTTTACGCCACCATTTGCGAAACCTGTACATCTTTCAGGTTCCACAACACATATGTAACACGACGAGGGTAAAAACCGTTGATAGCAGTCGTAGAGCCACTCGTTATGTCAATGTGTAGAGAGGAGTGGATAGGAGGGTGAGAGAGGGAGAGATATGGATGGGGGGGGGGGGATAGGTGGATGGATATGGAAGGGGGGGGGATAGAGGGGGAAGCGTGTGTGGACGCCGGTCATTGAGTGTGTTTATACAAGTAATGAACGTGTTTGTGTTGCGGTGAATTACTAGTGAGAGTCAGTCTAGTGTTCCTCTACTTAAGGAGCACACTACTACCCCCCCCTTCCCTCACCCCCTCTCTCGGCAACATAAATTATCAACAAATCTCAGAGAAAGATGCCATTCAAACGCTGGGGCGTCTGGGCGCGCGCGCGCGCGCACACACACACACACACACACACACACACACACACAGAGAGAGAGAGAGAGAGAGAGAGAGAGAGAGAGAGAGAGAGAGAGAGAGAGAGAGAGAGAGAGAGAGAGAGAGAGAGAGAGAGAGAGAGAGAGAGAGAGAGAGAGAGAGAGATAGAGAGACGCACACACACAGACAGACACCACCACCACCTCCCTCTTAAGCTCAGCCTAGACATAAAGCAGAGGCAGATCTGTCAACTCCAAGCAGTCAGCGGCTCCACACGGCCCGACCCACTACTATATTTAACGCTTACACTCTCCTCTCCCCCACACAAAAACAATACAACGCCAGATCTGGTTGTAGCAGTAGCCGCAGCTACAGCAGTAGTAGCAGCTACAGCAGCAGCAGCAATAGTAACAGCAGCAGCAGCAAATACCGACATTTCTTCATTTATAATTGGAAGATGCGGCGAACTAATTTCTTTACTATAGGGCTGTTGTAGCATCTAACACCCGGTAATGGACTAGACCCAGAGCTTACACAGCCGTCAAGGTACTGAACCCCTCCGACAATCCTGGTCTTAAACACTCCTCCTCCTCCTCCAGTGGCCGAGGTGTACCGACACACTCCCACCCCCCCCCCCCACCAAGCAGCAGACCTCTGACGAGGTCCAGACAGAAGGAGAGTGGGCCACACCCACCCAACAGTGTGACTCCTCACACCATTCTAATGGTCCGCATTTGTGTACGACACGCCAAAGGAAATCTAAATTATCTGTTTCTATAACAGAGTAGCGAATGTTTTTTTGTTGATATTGTATTCTCTCTACTTACGGCGTCTCAGGTCTTCACTGGATCTATTTTATAAGTCCTATCATATCTTTCGCTCCAGTAGGTTATTTGATAGTGCATGTTTGGGACCTGGCTTTCCAGTATCTCTCATGTGTGTGCGTCCTCTGTCTCTTTCCTCTCCTTTCCAAAGTGAGGCTTTTGGAGTAATTGAGGGGTTTTGAGTGCGTGGGTGTTGGTTCTGGTGTCTGTGTTGTGCGTCCAAGATGCGTCCTCGTAAATAGTGAGACCTCGCGCACAATCGCACCTCTGCCGTCCTCGTAACATTGCATTTTCTAGGGTTGAACTCGTCTCGCCAACGTTGCATTAATAAGCTTAGTATCGCCTTGACAAATTATATATATATATATATATATATATATATATATATATATATATATATATATATATATATATATATATATATATATATATATATATATTTATTATAATGTATGTGTGTGTGTACTCACCTATTTGTGCTTGCAGGGGTTGAGCTTTGGCTCTTTGGTCCCGCCTCTCAACTGTCAATCAACTGGTGTACAGGTTCCTGAGCCTACTGGGCTCTATCATATCTACACTTGAAACTGTGCATGGAGTCAGCCGCGTGCGTGAGTGCGTACGTGGGTGTGCGTGCGTGCGTGCGCGTTAAAGTATAAAACAAAATTCTGAGCATGAAATCTGAAGTTCACATTCCACACGAGGCCGCGGTAATGTGTCCGTACGTGACGATATGCTAACGAGCGGTGGTCACGGCGCATGCGCGTCTACCAGTATGGGTCGCCCACCTTGCCCAGTCGCTCCCAGCGCCGCACACAAACGCACCGCTCCTGTGCCAGGTAAGTCCACTACGGGCTCACCATAGCCCGTGCTACTTGGAACTTTTTGTTCCCCAGTAGCTGAATCTAAAACCCACAACGTGTAAGCTCAGTATAGCTGTGTTAGTGCAACAGTGTACTCCTGAAGATGTCACATTGCTGTGACACACACACACGTGTGTGTGTGTGTGTGTGTGTGTGTGTGTGTGTGTGTGTGTGTGTGTGTGTGTGTGTGTGTGTGTGTGTGTATCACGAAAATTAACACGATGAAAAATATGACAGTGTCAGACCACGGAGGAAGAATTGAAACGTGAATTTCCTTAAGTACTTTCGTATATGAATACATCTTCAGAAGGGAAGAACCTTTCTGAAGATATATTAATATACGAAAGTACTTAAGGAAATTCACGTTTCAATTCTTCCTCCGTGGTCTGACACTGTAATTATATATATACATATATATATATATATATTGTTTCAAACGTAGGCTATACATTTATATAAATGAGTTAGGGTGATAAAAATAGAAGATGCCTCGTGTAGGATAATCTGCACTTTCAGCAACTCATAATTTGTCTTCACAAGTGTCGTAAGTGAATGCGTAAACACTCGATTCCTGGCCCCCGGCTCTTACTTTCAACTGAACTAGGTCATTCAACTCCAATAAGATGCAATTAATGGTTACAACATCTGTCTCACAATCCGCGTCTTACCGCTGAAAGATGCCAGAGTTCTGAAGGTAAACCAGAATTACAAATACCTGCTTATTCCTCAATTTTCAAATTAAATATGAGTTGAATCGTATTGCAAACAGAGCGAAACCAACTCCCTAACAGCTGACAAAGTCAAAGCCGCGACTTTTGCAACACTGGTCAAAGCCTTAACAACCTACCATTTCCAACAATGTGATGGTTAAAGCTATTGCGTTAACATTTACCTCAGTGGTGAAATAGTTAACAGTCGACGCGATATTTAACTGCAATCAATCAATTAATTTACTAATATTTTTTCAGGCACCACTCCTGTGCCAGGTAAGTCCACTACGGGCTCACCATAGCCCGTGCTACTTGCCCCGCTCCTGTGCCAGGTAAGTCCACTACGGGCTCACCATAGCCCGTGCTACTTGCCCCGCTCCTGTGCCAGGTAAGTCCACTACGGGCTCACCATAGCCAGTGCTACTTGCCCCGCTCCTGTGCCAGGTAAGTCCACTACGGGCTCACCATAGCCCGTGCTACTTGCCCCGCTCCTGTGCCAGGTAAGTCCACTACGGGCTCACCATAGCCCGTGCTACTTGCCACGCTCCTGTGCCAGGTAAGTCCACTACGGGCTCACCATAGCCCGTGCTACTTGCAACTTGTTCCGAGTAGCTGAATCTATAACACCAACAATCAATTTACTCCGCCCCTTTCCCCCTCCTTTCTCGGGCGGCCGGGGGGGAAGGGGGGTAGGGGGTTTTCTATGTATCGAGACGATACATAGAAAACGCAATACTAATTCTCACTTTTAACCAATTGAGCTATTCCGATAAAAAAAAATTGCGACATACTTAGCATGAGGCTTGCAGTATACCTCCCCCCCCCCAACTTCAGACAAGGGTGAGAGATATGCTACGAGTATAAGGTTCAAAAGAGACAAAAAGATATGTCGTTCAACGCCATATCGTTCCTCTTTATCAACAAATCTCATAGTGCGGGATCACCATAGCCCGTGCTACTTGTGATTTTTTGTTCCAATTTTCGAATCTTAAACAACAACAAATCTCATCTATTAACGGTGCGCAAGGAGGTGACGTCATCGGCTTGCCACCAGGGGGGGGGGATACACGCAGAAATCACAATAGCGTGATGCATCAAATGAACAAATCCACAAGGGCCGTGATGAGGGCTCGAACCTACGTCCAAGAGAATCCCAGACGCTGCCTTGTCCTTGGGGCAATCGACTTTAAGGCGCGTCTGGGATCACCCTGGACGTCGGTTCGAACACTCATAACAGCCCGGTCGGAGCCGGTCGGCCGAGCGGACAGCACGCTGGACTTGTGATCCTGTGGTCCTGGGTTCGATCCCAGGCGTCGGCGAGAAACATTGGGCAGTTTCTTTCACCCTATGCCCCTGTTACCTAGCAGTAAAATAGGTACCTTTGTGTTAGTCAGCTGTCACGGGCTGCTTCCTGGGGGTGGAGGCTTGGTCGAGGACCGGGCCGCGGGGACACTAAAAAGCCCCGAAATCACCTCAAGATAACCTCAAGATAAGAAGCCCCCTGTGGATTTGTTCACTTCTTGGGATGCTACTGGATGACGAGATGTGATGATGATGATGATGATGATGATGATGACGATGATGATGATGATGACACCGCCAGAGCCACCAGTAATGATGAATTATAACACCGGCCACTTTCTCTCCTGGCTAAAACTGTTGGGTTTACTGCGGTTGGGAAACATCGATGATGCTCACTGCGACAAACCGCCTGAATTCCTGGTCTAAACTTTCAAGAATAATACTCTTGCGTTCCTCAACTCTACCACCTCCTCCGCGGCCATCTTGAGGTTATCTTTAGATGATTTCGGGGCTTTTTTTTTTTAGTGACCCCGCGGCCCGGTCCTCGACCAGGCCTCCACCCCCAGGAAGCAGCCCGTGACAGCTGACTAACATCCAGGTACCTATTTTACTGCTAGGTAACAGGGGCATAGGGTGAAAGAAACTCTGCCCATTGTTTCTCGCCGGCGCCTGGGATCGAACCCAGGACCACAGGATCACAAGTCCCGCGTGCTGTCCGCTCGGCTCCCTCTTTTGGGGTAATATAATAACGAAGGATCAAAATGTATCCAAATATCTCGCCTATATTCACACATTTGTACCTAATTTGTCTAAACTTTGCTGAAGGGGAGCCGGTCGGCCGAGCGGGCAGCACACTGGACTTGTAATCCTGTGGTCCCGGGTTCGATCCCATTGAACATTGAACATGAACACATTGTTATATTGAATAGAAAGTGTTGAGTGAATTGAATAACATTTGATTATCATTGGTTTTAGTTAAGCATTAACTAGGCCATTTGCAAGGGCCGGCAGTCAGACGGGCGGCAGGGGGGGCCACCAATCGCCGCCCACTTGGCTAATCAGACACATTCGTTCCGCCTATAGCCCCCCGCCACACACCTATTTACCTAGCCAACTATGGCGACACTGGCGCCAAGGCCCACCTCTGCCGATGGCCGAATGCCCTCCTCCTCCATTTTGTTTTTCCCTCAAACCATCCATCACTCCCTCAACTCCCACGGAATATACATTCCATCCAGCCTTTCACTTCTCTCTCTCTCTCTCTCTCTCTCTCTCTCCCACGCCTCCCTCCCTTCCCTCTCTGAAGACATTCCGTCCACATTCCATCTCCATATCGCCGTGATGGACAGAGATATGTTGCAATTCGATTAATCAGTTAAACACAGCTCGCTCCCAACATTCCATCTCAACCTCTACCAGGAAGAGACTCAGTGATAGTGATATATATATATATATATATATATATATATATATATATATATATATATATATATATATATATATATATATATATATATATATATATATAGGGGGGTACCACCACTGGTGTAATTATAGGGACCCACAGCCTCAGAGAAGGGAACACAGAGCACTCAGGGAAAAACTTGACATTTAACTCTGAATACGAAAGAGTGTTCACTTCTCCTACCACCCCCTTTTTTTTTATTATGATGTACACTTTATTATGCAAGGTTATACAGTTACATATCTGATTTTATACAAAAAATGAACATTAAGAGGACACAAGAAAAAGTTCGCTTCCTAGAGGCTGTAGATTTCCTCGAACTCCTCCGACGCCGGGCAGGAACCGAGGATGCAGCGGGCATTTCCCCTCTGGATCGCGACACTGAGGCGCTGAAAGAGAAAACTTGCTGCTCTAGGGTCTCTTGTGGTGTCAATGAGCTTGGAACCAAGATCCTTAAGAAACCTTCTTGCACTCTCACCCCATGGGCCTAGGGTCTCAGACCCTATTGGAACGAAATTGTACCTTTGATCTAATTGCCTGTACTTGACTGACTTTTGTTTTTCTCTGTGTGTCGCTGCGGCTCCTGCCGTGCCGGCAGAGAGGGTGATGTATGTCGTTGCCAGGGTGGATACGCAAGTATAGTCCCATGCTAACTGCCTGCCACCCTTCCACGGACGCAGTGTGATTCCGTCTGGTCGGCCGGCAAAGCTAACAGAGTCACGGTTCAGTAGGTTGCGGGGCTCTCTCTCCGCTGGACACTGAGCAGAGGCAAGAAAGCAGAGGCAAGGCTATATATATATATATATCTGAATTAAGTCAAATCGTACACAGGACTGTTCAACAAAATTCGTATTCAGGGGCCAGATTCACGAAGCTGTTACGCAAGCAACTTACAAACCTGTACGTCTTTTCTCCATTTCTGGCAGCTTTGTTTACAATTATTAAACAGTTAATGAGCTCCGAAGCACCAGGAGGCTGTTTATAACAATAACAAAAGTTGATTGGCAAGTTTTCATGCTTGTAAACTGTTTAATAAATGTAACCAAAGCCGTCAAAGATTGAGGAAAAGATGTACACGTTCGTAAGTGCTTGCGTAACTGCTTCGTGAATCTGGTCTCTCCTTAAAACTGTACATGGGCGCTAGGCTAGGATGAATTGGGTTCCGTTTTGTTACTATTTCGATTAAGGCCCTGTTACCTAGCAGTAAATAGGTACCTGGGTGTTAATCAGCTGTCACGGGCTGCTTCCTGGGGGTGGAGGCCTGGTCGAGGACCGGGCCGCGAAGACACTAAAGCCCCGAAATCATCTCAAGATAACCTCAAGAAGGCAGTCTCTGGGATGCTCCCGGACGCAGGTTAGAATCCTCATCACGGCCCTTGTGGATTTGTCCGCTTAGCTACGTTACAGCGGGTTGGGTTAGGCTCGGCTCTGCTGGGTTTAATTAGGGTATTTTGAATTCTGTTCGGTTGCGTTAGGTTAGTTTGGGTAAGATTAGAAAAATCTTATCAAGATTACGCACCGATTAGGAAAAGACAAAATCCGTTGGTGGATTGTCTTGTATACGGTGTGGCTTATATCCTGAGTGTGTGTGTACTCGCCTGTTTGTGCTTGCGGGGGTTGAGCTCTGGCTCTTTGGTCCCGCCTCTCAACTGTCCATCAACTGGTGTACAGATTCCCGAGCCTACTGGGCTCTATCATATCTACACTTGAAACTGTATATGGAGTCAGCCAGTGTGTGTGTGTGTGAGTGTGTGAGAGTGTGTGAGTGTGTGTGAGTGTGTGTGAGAGTGTGTGAGAGTAATATATGTAAAAATCATAATATGGTTAGAAAGGCGGAGTCTAAGAGCTAATAGCTCGATTCTGACGAGCACAAATAGTAAACACACACGAGGATCACCCTTGAGGAGGAGGAAGATGGCGCGTGTCGAGTACAAGTGCCGCGGTCAATACCCACCACTCAACCTGATCATGACTCTATTGTGCAACCATCAACTATCAACCCGGCACCCCCCCCCTCTCCATCCACCCCCCCCTCTCACCCCTCTACAACCTCCCCCCCCCGTCTCG